TTATCTGGACTGCTTGTGAGGGTTGGAATTGTAATGGTAGACGTGTTTTAGCAAGGAAGGGAGTGATTAACTTTTCAGCCTAAGAGCGGAGGTCCCTGGGACCATCAAGGGAGAAGAGCTGAGCGGGACCCTACCCAGAGAAGCAGTGATGCCTGAGATGGAGGCAGAGACGATGACGTGGAGAGATGGAGCTGTTGGGGACTTTAGACACAGAGAGGGAGAGGGGCTGTGTGCTGATGACCAGGGGTGGGGGGGTTGGGGGGGTTAGGCTTGCAGTGTATACCCTTTGGTTGGTTGATGATGCATGGAGGGGATTGTAACCAGAGCAATGAAATGATACACTAGGATGAATGTAAAACTAATGTTCTCCCATGTAAACGATCACATAATTCACAATAAAACATTAAAAAAAAAAATTTCAATATCTATTCCATCAATTCCCGGAGCTTTGTTTTATGCCAATGCCTTCAGTGCACCTTGGACTCCTTCCTTCAATACCATTGGCTCTTGATCTTAATGCTACCTCTTGAAATGGTTGAACATTAACCATTTCTTTTTGGTATAGTAACTCTGTACATTTCTTTTTGTGTGTGTGATGCTTTCTACATCATTCAATACCTTGCCCACAGAATCCTTCAATATTTCAAGTTGAGACTTGAATTTTTCCTTCAGTTTTCTCAGCTTGAGAAATGCTGAGCGTATTCTTCCCTTTTGGTTTTTTAACTCCAGGATTTTACATCTCATTATAATACTTCCTTGACTTTGTCTTCTTGAGCTGACATTTGACATTTTCTGTTCTACTCTCTTACCTCATTTCTTCCATTTGCTTTAGCATCTCTACACTGGAGAGTAAGTTTCAGAGTCTCTTCTGCCATCCATTTTGGTCTTTTTCTTCTCATCTTAATGATCTTTTTACTTTCTTACTGTATGATGTTCTTGATGTCATTCCATAACTCTTCTGCTCTTCGGTCATTAGTGTCTAATTCATCAAATCTATTATTGAGTTGATCTCTAAATTCAGATGGGATATGTTTAAGTTCAAATTTTGGCTCTTGTGGACTTTAGTTTTGTTCTGCTTCAGCCTGAACTTACTTATGAACAAATGATGATCTGTTCCAGTCTGCCCCTGACCTTCTTTTGAATGATGATATGGAACTTTTTTACTGTTTCCTCCCATAGATGTAGTCAATTTGGTTTCTGTGTATATCTGGTGAGGTTCAAGTATGTAGTCATCTTTTATGTTATTTAAAGAAGGTATTTGCAACGAATAAGTTTGCAAAAATCTATCATTTGATGTCCAATGTCATTTCTAGCACCAAAGTTGTGTTTTCCAACTATTGACCCTTCCTCTTTGTTTCCAACTTTTGTACTCCCAATCACCAGTAATTATCAATGCATCTTGATTGCATGTTTGATCAATTTCAGACTGAAGAAATTTGGTGGAATTCTTCAATTTCATCATCATTGGCTTTAGTGGTTGGTTTGTAAATTTTAATAATAGTGGTATTAATTGGTCTTCCTTATAGGCATAGGGGTGTTAACTTATCACAGACAGCATTACACTTCCAAACAGATCTTGAAACGGTCTTTCTGATGATGAATATGACACCATTCCTCTTCATTCTATCATTTCCATTGGAGTAAACCATATATGATTGTCAACTTAAAAAAGTCCTTTTCAGTTCACTAATGCCTAGGATACTGATGTTTATGCATTCCATTTCATTTTTGAAAACGTCCAATTTTTCTAGATTCATACTTCGTATATTCCATGTTTCAATTATTAATGGATGTTTACAGCTGTTTCTCCTCATTTTCAGTTGTGCCCCATCAGCAAAAAGAAGGTCTTGAAGGCTTTACTCCATTCGCGTCATCATGGTCAAGTCTACTTTGAGGAAGCAGCTCTTTCCCAGTCGTACTCTGATTGCCTTCCTACCTGAGGGGCTCATGTTGCAGCACAATATCTACAGTATTCTTGTGCTATTCATAATGTTTCCATATTCTGGTTCTATTGGATAGTATTCCATTGTTATTTATAAGGTTTTCAGTAGCTAAATATTCAGAAGTAATCTGCCTCTCTTTGTCCGGAAGCTCAACTGAAACCTGTCTATCATGAAGACCCTGTTGGTACTTAAAATGCCGGTGGCATAGCTTCTAGCATCACAGTAACATGCAAGCCACCAGAGTATGACAAACTGACAGATGAGTGGTGGGCACACATACATGCATACATACATATATATGGGGCTAGAGCTCAGGGCTGGAAATCAAGATAGGAAAGGTCCCAGCACATAGATAGCAGCTGAAGTCAGGTAAGGAAAAGTCAGAGAAGTAAGTGTCCCTAGAGCTGTAAAACAGCATACCACTGGTTCCTTGATGACAGCATTTTAAGTTGTGAGGACAGAAGTCAGTTTTCCAATGGGGTTGAGACATGAGTGAAATGTGAGCAAGTGGAGAAACAAATGAATTACAGACAAAGCACTGCCAAACACAAGTGGATCTGGTTAACACAAACTCCTCCATGCAAGCATTGGTACCCACCATGACTTATCTGGTCTAACATTAAAATAGCCAAGCCTGTTTATTCTGCACCTATTTGGTTAAAAGTCTGGTCTTTCTAAGTGAATGGGCACTTGAGATGTGCCCAAGCCCCTAGAAATATGTGGTATGTGATTACAGATAGCTTCTTGCTAACTCATGCCAAGCTGGCCCTCCAGCCAAGGCAACCAGGGTAGGCTGTACTGGGCTATGGTATATCAGTTAGGGCTTCCTTGGATGCAAGCCCAGAAACTAGCAATGGCTAATTTAAGCAAGATGGAATTTACTGGATGCTCACAGGTTTCCTAACAAGAAAAAGAAACACCCCCTCATCCTCCCTGGCAAAATAATGGATTCCAACAGATTCACTCTGTCCCTCTGCTCAAGACACAAATTCTTACTGGAGAACATGTGATTGGCCCATCTTGAGTCATGCGCCTGACCTTTGGGTAAGAGAAGGCAGTTCCCCCAGGTTAATCCTACCCAACTATACTGCACAAGGAAGAAAAGATTCTCAAAAAAATACAAACCAGAAGTTCTTCAGAGGTGTGGCCAAAAAACTACGTAATCACAGGAATCTATAACACAATCATCTTTGAAACAGGTGTCAGGAAGTGGTTTTATAATTCACAAAGAAATATGACCAGGAGACCATTGTTATTCAGTGATCAATAATACTGGCTCCTCAGTTAAAAACATAAGGGGCAGCCTTCTAAGATATATCTTTGAACAATATCAAGAAGTACTTGGGTGATAAGTTGAGCTGATATGTTTTTTGAATCATGTGTCCATCTCCATAGAGTGTCCTTCGGGGGAAGTAAATCCTAGATCTGATTATTTGGGGCAGAGCCTGGCCAGGTCACTACTGAGCCTCACATACACAGCTCCTGAAAGGATGCAGTTGTCTGCTGAGAGCACAGGCTAGAATATTCAGAGGATCATCAAATGGAGACTAAACGTCTAGGCAGACTACAATATGCTCCTTGGCAAAAGGAACATGACGTTCTTATTGCAGAATTGACCTAAATTCAGGAAACAGTTTATTGATGTAGGCAAATGCTTGAATCCGCAGCCAGCAGGATCACTTGTGGCGGGGTGGGTAGGCAGGGGTTCTTCCTTCTCTCTTCTCCTATTTTACGGAGTCAGCTTGAGAGGCTCTTTAAGAGCCGGACACTGAGGCTAGTTCCACTGAAAGTGCTGAATTAGTATAATCAGGCTCCAATTAACCACTATTTCTGCCCAGATCTGTTCCCAGAACTAATCAACACAAAGGGACTGCTGTGTATCTAAGAAGAGAAAATCTGACCTGGACCCCACTGACTTTTGTCCACAGGACACTAGTACTGTAGGAGTGCAATAGTGAAGTCCTTTTTGTCCAATTGAAGTCCTAGAAAGATGGAAAGCAGGGTAGCGAGCAGAGTGAGGCCGTGGAAAATGGAACACCTTTCCTGAACACTCAGAGCAGAAATTAACTGGTTAGTTTTAGATGCCATCTTCCATCCTCCCCTCATGGCTGCCATCAAAGAGCTCTAACACACAAATCTGGATGGTATCCCACTTGCTTAAGGCTCCGTTTTACCCAGGCCAACATCTAATACCTGCAGAACAAACCAGACCCGTCAGAACAAGCCCATCTCTCTCCAGCCTCCTCCTCTACAACTCTCCAGTCTTTACACTCAAGCCAGGCTGAACAGTCAGGTTTGACCCCTGTGCTCTTCCCAGGTCTCCGTCTCTACGTACTTTTCTGCACTAAAGCAATCCTAACCTACATGCTGGTGAGTTTACAGTCTCACTGGATCGTAAACTCCTCAGAGGACAGGACCCAGTCCGGTCCATCTTCATAAGACACTATAATAACCCACTCTGTGTCTCGGGGGTCTAGCACAATGCTGTCTTTCAGGTAGGTGCTCAATCATTTGTTGAACGAGTGAATAAACTCCATTTGCATTTTATCTCTAGCATGTCTACACCAAATATCACACTTGGCTTCTCAGAAACCAAAACCAAAACCAAACCTGCTGCCGTTGAATTGATTCCAGCTCAAAGTGACCCTATAGCACAGAGACGAACTGCTCTGTAGTGTTTCCTGACAAGGCTGTAAAGCTTGACAGAAACAGACCCTTGTTCCTTCTCCTGTAGAGCAGCTGGTGGGTTTGAACTGCCAACCTTTTGGTCAGCAGCTGAGCACTTACCCACTGTGCTACCAATCTTCTCAGAAGAGGGAACATATTCAAATACCAAGAACTGCAGTTCCTGGTAAGACCTTTCAGAAAAATGACGGTTACCAACAACAGCAACTGGAAACTTAGCAGAATGCTTAAGTGCTAAAAACAGAGTAAAGTGGGCCAAGAGTTGAACACTTATGGTTTAGGTAGGCTGGCGGCAGAGGCTGTACTGGTTGGTGGACGTGGGGATTCATGGCTGCTGAAAGCTTAAAAATCACAAACAACTTCTTTCTTAAGAATCACATATATTTAACACTGGGGATGCGGGGTACACTTTTCACAGGACGAGCTACTTAAAACTCAATGCGACCACCACCCAGTCTGGGAAGCAACTCTCCAACTGTCTGAGCCAGCCTCACACAAAGGAGGCAAGCTCTTTCCAGCTGGAATACCTTTGGAAAATGAAGTCACCTGTTAGAGTCACCACTGTCCTCAATCCCAGCTTCCTTCTGGAGTCAGGCACTGTCCCATGACTCCCAAAGGAGGCTGCTCTCTTTAGTTCTCCATGAGGCTCCCAGGGTGGTCCGAGTTATGGGGAGGGCTCTTCGGCTTGCGGGTAGACAGGTGTTCCAACTCATAGCAGCCATTCTCTGGGGTCTTGTGTGAGACTTCCTCCTTCACATCCTCCTTCTGGCTCCTCTTGTGCTCGATAATCTGCTGGAGCTGGTGCCCAGCATATTCTGGCTTGGTGGTCAGTGGGCCAGCTGGCACAGCCACACCAAGAACATCTGATACCATGTAGGGGAGCAGCCAGCCCACCAGGGGAGTGCTTCCAGGGCTGTAGTGGGTCTGCTTGTGGTAGAAGAGAAGCCCATCCACCTACAAGAGGGGAAATCAGGGATTAAAATGACTTTTGGGGTGCATTTCAAGGAGAGCACTTATAAAATGGGAGCTGCTCTTTCTTGTGGCCCAGCTCCTTTTTCTGGGTCCCTGTCAGAGGAAACAAGATTCCTCCTTTATCACACCAACAATTCCCCTAAATGGAAGAAGGAAAAAAAAAAAAAAGGGACCTAAAAAAAGAAATTTTAGTAAAGAAAACAAACAATACTTTCATACTATTTTACTGCACTCTTTCACCCCCCATGAGGGTGTTTGAAATGGGGCTGTTAAGACTCAGAGTTTTGAGGGCCTCCCTAAAGACACACAATAAGTGTGAAGCCAATTTGGAATTTGAGCTCAGGTCTTCTGTCCCCAGATCCCATGTAGTTTCTACTCCCTACAGGTCTCTGTCACAATGGATGTGTCCCATGCATAGAACAAAGCAGGAGTTTTGGACAAGCCCCCTGTTGGTGCTAGATGGCTGAGCACAAACTGCTTCCCAAGTCAATTTTGGCTGCCTGAACCTCCCTCTAAATGGTTTGCAAGCAATGTTCTGGGAAGTTTAATTTTTTTCAACGGGAAGACCTCCTACAGTTCCACATTTTCTTTTCTGTGATTCAGTGACTCATCTCTACAAAGCATTTATTGTCATTGAGGCATAGGGGTTATAAATAAAGATGGTGTTCCTACCAACTTCTTAATTGGCTCCCAGAAATGAAGGCAACTCAGCTTTTGCCATTTCCTCATTCGGGAAGCTGTGATTCTTTTTTAGCAAAATTACCTCCAATTCAAGCAAATATCAGGGGGTGACTAGACCGAATATTAAAGAGTATGCTGGGTAACGGCAATGTTGCTCATTGAGCCTGGGGAGGACAACTGCAGGTTCAGAGGATGACAAAAGGCTGCCTAGGACTGAGAGGCTTCTGGAGATATGGGACTTCCAGCGCTAAAACTGAGAAAGTCCAGAGCAAACCTGGATAGGCCACCTACTCCCATCCTACTGCTCAGCAAGCACTGCCATCCCCAGTGACCATTTACTCCTTGGAGGAAGAAAAGATTAGGAGTTCACTCACAGAAGTCCCACTTTACAACCAGCTGTGACAGACAAATAGCTTGGGGGTTATACTTGCCTCAGTTTCTCCATCTGTAAAACAAGGGAATTGGATGATCTGTTTAAGGGCCCTTCCAGCTCTGTCTGGCACGCTAACGTAGCCTAAACTACTAAGTACACAGCTGGTGCGAGGAAACAGGGTGGCTGACCTATCAGGGTGCAGCTGGGGCTTTGAAAGCTGGGAAATGGAAGGGCAGTGAGCACATCCTTTCTCAGGAATCAAGTGTTCAGTCTTTTTTCCTTTATAACTTTTTATTGTGAGTTGGCTGAAGGTTTACAGAGGGGATCAGTTTTCCATTCAACAGTTCACACACATCTTGTTTCACCTCATTGACTGTAATCCCCACAATGGAACATCATTTATGCCACTTCCTCCCTGCGTTTCCTGTTTGCAATCCTCCTGCCTTCCAAACCCTTCTGAACTTTGTCCTTGGGAAATGCTGTCCTTCTGATGTCAAATGACTGATTCTTCTAAGGAGTGCTACCTCCCTAGTGTTACTGTTCCCCTTACAGAGCTGTCTATTGTTTGAGTTCAGTCTTTTTCTAATGTTTTTACAAAGCAGGGTCAGAGGGTGTCTCAAGACTCCTCATACCTAAATATCCTACAGTCACATCCCAACAAAAAAGACGATGGTCTTATTACCTCAAAAGGGAAGTCCATGGACAGCACCTTACACAGGCTCTCAGGGGTACATGGGAAATTCTCGAGTCCCACAAATTTAAACTGAAATAATAATTAGAACAAAATCATTAGGACATATTACTAATGGTTCCTGCTAGTGAAAGTCTTTATTAAAGAAAGGAAATTTTCAATCTGACCCTTTCCCACACCCTCTCCTTCGTCCACCCTTTGAACTACGGGGTCAAGTGATTCTTAATCCTACTTATAAAAAGTATTTTTTACAGTATTTTGTTGTTGTTGAGACTATACATAGAAAAACCATACACCACTCCAGTTTTATATGTACAGCTCAGTGACTCTGGTGACATTCTTCAGCTGTGCAACCGTTTTCACCGCCCCCTCCCCCATTAATTAACTGTCCCCTAAGGTTCCTATTCACTTTTTTATCCCTAAGTGTTTATTTACTAAGCCCATACAGTCATGGTTCATAGTTCAGTGACAATGTTCACGGACTTCAATTCAGAATTCTTTACATTCCAAAATCACTTTCCACTCCAAAAGATGCCAGCTTTCCTAATCACCTCAAAACTCCTTCATGGAATCCTAATTTCTGTAGAAATCTGTGTGTGTGTA